CCTACGGTTTGGTGCCAAATCGCGCTAAATATCAAAATCAGATGTCATAATTCATCGTCAGGACCATTTTGAAGCCAACAAGTGGCCGCCAACCTTGATTGCAAAATTTAGTCGCCGCGGGGATCGAACCATCAAGGGTATCATTCACGCAACCCTTTTTTGATAACAACTAAAACCGTTCAGCAACACGGTTTTGCAAAAACGAAACACGGTTTTGTGGTCCATACATCCGTCCCTACAATATGCGAGGAACCATTTCCAGAAAAGTGCGCTGCTTGCCACTGAAAGACCCCCCTTGTAAGGGTAGTCCAGGAGTATTGTCCTAAACCAAATCCAACGCAGTTTGGTGAAGTGCTTTGCAATTGGCAGCAGATTCGGAAGTTAATAAGAACGCAGAGAGTTGCGCTTACTGTTAGCAGGCTTGGAGTACACCTTATTAGTAGCGTAAGCAACGAGCTCTCAAAGATTGGCAGAGGAACAATAAGGGTGAAACATTTCGAGCGCTTCTCGCGTTCCGAGAACGGAGCTCGTGAAGTGCGAAATCCTTTTATATTTCATGAACGACCCAGACCCCTTCAGTTGGAACACTCAGCCAGATATACAGGGTGGCGAATAATTGCGTACGCCATGAAACACCTCCAAAGTTTATTTCTTGTCCACAAAAATTTGGAAGTAAATAATTTGTAACCATGGCAAACCATGGCATTTTATAATTGCAAGAGATTTGGAATAGCTGCCATTAGTCTTAATCTCAGCCTCTGAGTCTCATTTTGTCCCTTCAGCGAGTTGTTGGAGCTGTGGAGGTGTTCAGCAAGTAGAATACGCAGACTTTTTTCAAATTAACTAAAAATTTTCAGTACGATATCTCTATAAAGCTATTCAGCAATACCTCAGCAAAGAAGTCCCGATTGGGAATGTAAACAGTCCTTACGAATCCATGGCCAAGAAACAGCCGATGATGGCCTCGGAAGCCGATCGGCCGTGTGGTCCATGGGCGCAAATCCATTCCTGCAGAATTGTTATGATTTTGCTTCCAGGTAGCCTCAGCTTTCTTAAAGATCTCTTCTAGACTTTCCTATCGATTTCCGCGCTTCTATAAAATCTTAATATAATCTTCGATAAAAAAATCTGTAATCCAGCCTCAACTCATCAACTTCCTCGGGAACGCAACTTTTGCGGCCACTTTCCGTTGGGGACTTGAGAGCTCGTATAAAAGGATAAAGGTGATTCTGAGAGTTTTATGGCTCTCAATCGGTTAACTTTTATGTGTGAAACTAGAGGGCATCCTGAGATGGCCGCGCTCGAAGAAATCTCGCAACTTCTCATTTTTTCCGTTCCTATCTTGCTTTGCTTGAATGGTGCAAATACTGCCTGTTTGATATACGATAAGGTTTATAGAGCGCTTCATATTTGCTGTCATTTGAACAAATTTCCGGAGTTTCGTTTGCTCGGCACTCTTATTCAAGCTCAGGACATCTTTTTGATCAATACTCTCCTTGATAAATCTCCTCACACATCGGGTATTAGTAGTTACCTCACCCCTTACTAGTTTGGTTTGGAGACGATCTTTCTCTTTCCATTGATTTGCAGTTTTCTGGAAGGTTTGTAAAACACTGAGCCTCGAAGAATTCGTTTGGCTCTCAGGCCAGCTGTTTGCTTGCCGAGCAATCAAAACTAACTAATAACTGAGCAGGTCTTTTTCAGAACTTGTAAAACAAATGCCTTCTTCTGCAAACCAATAATTAGCAATGGACAAACTTGAAAGGAAAAAGGACACAGGGGCTCATACTACGTTGGAAACGAAGCGAAAGATTACGCGCACGTAATATTTCGCCACCCTGCAGTAACTAGGATCTCCGATGAAACTAGTAGAATAGGAGAAATGTAGACGGGCTTTAACTTCCCGCTGAGCAATGAACTGAACCGAGTAATCACGGCTTCTTCCACTCTGTTGATTTTCGTCTATGTGCGAGCAAAAGACCAAGCCTAATGCTATCCAATATAGAATTTTTAAGGAAGCTCCCGTCACTTTCGCTATTCACAATGATTGGATCCGCTAGCAAGATGGTGTGCTGGCATGGACTGAGTATTTTGAAAATCTTGTACAGCCACCATTTGCTTGACGTTGAGGCGGAAAACTTTCGGTCAAACCCAAAACCTTCAATTTATGTGTACTGGATCTTCAAGATGTAGTCGATATTTAAGTTAAAGAAGTGCAGAAAGAACGCAGTTTGAATATATCGCTAAAAGATGAAAACCAACGTCCACAAAAGGAGGTCCCCTTTTGCGTTTTTGTCAGATTTCTCTGCTCTCCGCACTGCGAACATTGGACATTATCTAAGGTCTTCGTACCTATCGAAGCGCTGCTTTAGTTTGCCAAGAAAACCCTGCATCAACGACCCTAAGGCCAAATTTTGTATTTTAAAGGCAAAGGCGGCTCCGTATAGCGCAGATGGCGCCTGAAAATTGAGTGTAAGATGGGTGGAACGACAGTATGAGAAAACGAAAAAAGAACTTCGACACACGAAAGCGAAACCCCGTCCTTCTAGGCAATATGCTATTCCTCCGAAAGTTGAGGCGATATAAGCTTTAAGTTCCTCTGTTTCCTCTGGGATTGCCCTGATAAAGGACTCACATTTAATGTATGTATTTAGGTAAAAGCAAACATGCACTAAAAACGAGGAAACTATATCGTTCAAAACAAGTAAATTTAAAGGAAACTTTGGGTCACTCTAGCTTGGGAATCATGGCATACGATTCTAGCAGTGAAGGAGGCTTGCTCAGGGGAGAGTCACGTCCAAACGAGTTTTCCGGATATGCCAGCCGTTCCATCGGTTGATACGGCAATCAACCTAGCTGATCTCACACGTTAGGCCAGCCACGCACCACATCCCGCGGTGTGCTGCCGGGAAATTCTCGCAGCACGGCAGCACACAATGCAAGGCCCTAGCGCCTTTGCCGCGCACTTCTTTGTCGCGACAGCCTCACACCCCCTCTGCTTGGAGACCCCACTTTTGCACCCTATAAAGGACTTCCTAATGTTCCCTAATCCTGACTCGTGGCTTTAAATTTTGTATTTGCGCTTCCAGATTGGTGCCAAATGAGTGGCAAGAGAAGGTGTCATACTAGGAATTAGGGCCATCGCTGCCTTCTCCAAGAAGGCTTTTCCTAAGTGGTTCACTAGCGTAGCATTCACAAGCATCTTTGACCGTACATAACCTCCTTGGCAGATTCAAATAGTCCAATAGCAATTTTGTTCCTCACATTTGGAACCAGCCTTCCAGGTCTTCTCGCAGTAGGTACTGTGTTACAACAATATTTTGAATTTGTTAAGTTAGGAGATTGAGCGTATTGTTCTAATACGATAGGTGTTGTGTTACAACAATACTCTTGAAGTTGTGTTGAAACTAGTTCTTTGCCAGGCTTGCTCTGAGGCGAGCTCCTCACTTTCCGCTCCGGAAAGGTTAACATAATACTGAGCATTTTAAGGTCAACTTTATGCATGGCTTTGGCCAAACTTCGGAGGTTATAGTGGGAGTGATTAGAGCCGACAGTGGTCATCACCGCGGTGCAGGTATCCAGCAGCTTTCTGTGAAGAATAAGTATGCAACCTCATCAAAAGCACTAAAAAGCTTCCCCTACGATGGCTTCCTGTCGAGGATTCCTCAACGCACGCTTTACCCTGCAGCTGAGAGAGCGAAGTGTTGAAGAGTTCACAGCGATGAGAGTCACATCAATGGAAAGGGGTCCTATTTCTCGGGTTTTGGGCCGTTTCACATGTTTCTTCTTCATCCCTGCTCCACTGACCACCTCTACCTTATTTCCAACGAGCTAATTTTTCATCGTAAAATCTGCCTTTAAAAATCTCATAGAAACCATCATTATGGTCCAGTTCAGTGGCACATATCAAACACCGCTGCAAATCTCTTTTTATTATCAACATAATCAATATCATTCGGATGACTTCACATAGTTACTCGTACACGATTCTGTGTCATAATATGAATATCACAAATTATATGGGCAAAGGCACGGATGACAAATAAATGATGACAGATTGAGCCAGATCGCAGTTCCTACACGCTGTCGCGTTGCTGAGCTGCTGGAAATACTAGACGGAACAGCACCGATGGTACAGATGCTGTTTCACTTCATTCAGCAGTGAAATCTCGTTTCCAAGAGCGAAACTTAGATTCGTTCAAAAGAATCCGAAATATCACTATAATGAGCAACGAAACAGCTTGTCAGCCAAACGATGGATTGAACGAACGAAAATGAATTCAGAATCATGAGCGAGCTTTGAAAAGCAATAAAAAATATTCATATATAGTCAATTTCCATAAGAATTGCTGGTGTGCTTGACATTTAGCGGCATGTGAAAGCAAATATCGAATCTGCTTTGGAAACGAAAATGGAAATTAGAAACGGTACTTACGTTCCCCCTACGCAGTAGTTGAGCGGGATTTTCTCCCAGCCCAATTGTTCCACTGTCCAGGCGGGCAAATTGCGGCACGAATAATTAGCTTAGGTCATGCTTGGTCTGACAAGAAACGTTGGACGAAACTGGGAAAGCGTATTCCCAGCAGCCAACTGACCTGCTACACTTTTCCAACGTCCAATTACCCTCAGGACTTATGCAGCGCCGTGCAGAGCCTTTCTAATACTAGTCTATACTATACTGCGCCGTACGAGCACAAGTAAGGGCTCAGCAGAAAACGGATACCCGGGCGTTTCTCAGACGAATCGTACAGTACAGTCAAAAACGATAGCCCATGAAATAGGGCAGGACGCAATCTGATCAAAGCCATTAGCACAAACGCCCGCCCACCAAATTAACAAAATTGAGTATAAAAAATGATATAGCAATGGGCTGTAGCGAATCTCTTGGCACATGAATCAGTGGATCAGGGATCGAGGCAGGTTGTTCCCGCAAACCAACCAATTTTTGACGATCAGTATCTTTCAGTTGATGAGTATTCAATGAGCTATCAATGATCAGTTCAGCACGACTCCTCAATCGCTTCTGCTCGACTGTAGTTCAAATGAGCGTAGATGAGCACGCCGATGTCTCTGTGGCCGTTTTCGACAGCTATCGAGAGCGCTGTGGAGCTGTCCTTTAATACACACTTATTAAATCTGCCATAACAACTGCAGACTGCTAAAATGCTGCGCTTCCAGAAACCAATTGTATGAGACCCTTAAAGTAAATAAGGAATTGAGGGGATAGCGGTCAGCTTGAAGAGAGGCACGAGAATGTTAGTGAGACTGAGGTCGTGAGCGCAAGACAAGACTGCAACGCGCAGATATTTAGCAAGGTGCTGCTGCTTGGAGAGATCTGTGAGATTCTTCGACTTCGAGTAGTCTGCAGTAGTAGGTCAAGGAACTATTACACCTTGACTTGGCTAAATGTTCAAGCGAAATAGCGGCAAGGGAGACAAGGAGTCCAAGGGTGAAAGCGGAAAGTAGGAATTGTGAGTAAAGGGAGCGTCTATGAAGACTAGTGCGTAACGATAAAAAAGACAGTTAACGGTTCAAAGACACAATGGCCAACTATAAGGGCCGGGGACAAAGAAGCGGGACTGTCAGTAATGCAGTCTCTAACCCATTTTGACCCATTGGTCGATGGCGATTGCCATCACCGACTTCAGAAGTTTGCACCACCACCGCGACAAGATATTTTTACAACCCACTGCTACAAATCGCAAACCACCATTCCCTTCTGAACATTGCTTTGCACCCGAGATGCCCGTCAGTTGTAACCGCGCGCCACAAACAGAAAGTTTTTATGTTTTTCGTTTGAAAAATATTTCAGGTGCTTGAAAGGGTTAGGAGAAAAAAAAACGCGTAGGGATTGTAAGAGCAAGTGTATGGGAGTAGAGAAGGTGGAGCGAAAAAAGTACGAGGAGACCAGCAATTAATAAGGGAACCAGGGGCTAAGATAGTGAGGATAGACGAGGCAGAATGTATAGCGAATAGGCTATACTTTCTGGAACAATTCAGTCAGAAGTAATTTATTTCTGCGAGCGCTTCTAGTGAGGGGACAGAGAAGTAAAAATTCAAAAATCGCAAAATCTGAGCCTCCATGGCACCTGAACTTACACAGTCTGTCAGAGCGGCATCGATGCCCGGTTGACCGAGGAGCAGCTTGACGATGTCTTTATGGCCATGCTCGGCTGCACACATGAGAGCTGTCGAGCCTTCCTCATCCTGAATCGAAACCATAGTGGACGTTGCCAACTAAAGGTGATCGAAGAAATTTGTAGCTACTGTACCTGAAGGTTCACGTCAGCACCACAAGCCAGCAGCAGCTCCGTGGTAGCCTTCTTTCCATGCGATACCGACAACATCAACGCCGTTTGACCGTGCTGTTGTGCACGCGCATTGACGTCACCCAGTTCGAAAAGCCTCAAATTGAAACATTGAGAAAATTAAAGTGCATTCACTTATTTTTATTTGTTTATTTGTTTATTTCAATCTCAGTGCGTTCGCTACCTCTGAACAACAGCCTTCTCCACTTCGTTTTCCAGTGAGCTCAATGCCGCCAACATCACTGCTGAATATCCAGCACGATTCGCCAAATTCAGCTGACATTCACCCGAATCCAGCAAGGACGACACGACGCCAAAATTGCCGTGGGACACGGCATAGTGAAGTGCTGTATTACCCTAAAAGGAAACTATTCGTTCTGAGAGGGAAAACTCCGTGATTAATGATAACTCACATTCTGATCGGTAATGTTCACGATGACTTTCAAGAGAGCCGGTGAAAGCGCTTTGATCTGTTCGATAAGGATATCCACAGCCTCAGGCCTGCTTCCTTTACGAGCTGTGCACTTCAACCACTCGTGCTGCACGTACTTGAGAGCCCAATCCTGTAAAATAATCCGTTAAGAGCGAGAATGCCAATCACTATCCCAACTTCATAAAGGCAAACCCCGGGATTAACCCGATTAACCCCTAGGAGGGATACCGCGTGGAAAATTGTAAGGTCCTTACCTACCTAGATCACTCCAGCTTCGCCGCAAAAGTTGCGCGGTTAGGGCGCTAATCCTTACGGGCCTGCAACCATCGACCCCCGTTGCAACGCTTCCCACCCACCTCGATATCGGCGTGTCTCGAACGGCGTCTCTCGCGTGTTTTGTCTTCTTTGACCGCCCTGCCTCGCCATCGTTCCACATCCGACCTTTTTGAAGGTTAAGGCCTTAATTTCAGCGATCCCAAGATTTCTCTAGCTTTCCTTTCCACTTTCAGGCCGTCCCGCAGCTCAGTCATCACTACGAAGCGCTCTTATCACCAGTTTTATCCCGGGGCTTGGCCTTTAAGGCTCCTTTAGCAAAAGTTTTGCCCAAAATATAACCCAAAAACGTTGACAAATTAGCTTATTCAAACCGAGAATAACTAACTGCTCGTGTAATTCTGCTACAGCAAATGGGGAAGGTGGAGCGAGCGACGCGCATCTGTATGTAGTGTTTTAGTTTTGTAGCAGTTTTGCCCTGAAGGCGCATTCCTTGATAAAATAGGTGCGGATTATTGCGTCCAAAAATGGGAGACGATATGGGTCTTCGGTCAGTCAGTAAAGATAAGAGAGCAAGTGAAGGGTGGGGGAGCGAGGTATATACGCGCGCTGAAACGGCAAATTTTCTCCCGCGCCGCTCCCCACTCATCACATGCAACTTCTTACAACCGAAGCAAGTACGACCCCCCCTCTACAAACTCATCAAAATACGACCCCCCCCCGTTGCTACTTGTAGCAACATAGGGTTGACCCTGCCCCAGGTCTCATTGAGCGAGACCAGCAAGACTACTGACCCTCCTCATTAGTCGGCCCTCGGTCCTTACGGATTCCACGGCATTAAAAAGAGATAAAGCCAATGAGAAGAGCCAGTGGTCGGGCAGATCCCACCCATGTGATCAACTGGGAATATGAATTCAGGAAAGCTTAGCAGTGTTGTGGACTCTCTTTCGTAACTGGTCGTAGCCGGAATGCAGCAGCAGTAGACATTATACATATTAGACGGCGAAATGTCCTTTGGACTCATTTTCCGTTAGCGGGAATGTTCACTATCAATCCGTTCTCCTAAAATCCCTCATTTTTTGAAGGCAGGTGGCTCATTTCGCACTCATTTATAGAGCGATTGTTTACGGCGCACTTATTTATTGTATGAACCGATTTCTTGGACTCCTCACTTATCAGCAGTGATTTCAGCCCAATTATAACGTTACCCAGATTGGTCCCCCGGCAACCACCGGGACCTCCTTACCTGCGTAAGCTTTACTCCTTCCAATGTGCTCCCATCCACTGGTGACATGGACACCTCGTGGAGGTGGCACGCATGCACAAAAAAGTGTCTTATATAGTAGAAGGCATTACCGTAATCGTGACATGACCTTAGAATGATATTAATTGGACCTCAGGTCTTTTGGCGGTTAGCTCCCCTCGCCCTTCTCCATCTTATCCTATTCCCTCTACTGCTCTCCAGCTGCTATTGCAGCATCATGTGGAATGAATGAGACCATGCTCAGTAGGTGTTTATATAGCCGTTGGGGTGTTATCACATTGATAGCACTGCAAAACATTGATTGCTAAAGTCATAGTTACTCGATTTTGTTAACGGTCTGTTTACTTCACGAGTTTCCCTACCACTTCATTTTGCGGACGGACACACATACATACATACATACATACATACATACACACACATACAGACATACAAACCGACACACAAAGTTAGCGCGCTTTATAAAATAGAAGGATTATCTCCAACCCGAGCCTTCCTTGTCGTGACATGTTAAACTTATGAGGGGATTGTGGAAATCTGGTTCTTATTGAAAAATAACTATGTTTATGAGACTCGGCAAACTGGGAAGCAGGGGGCCACCGGAGTTTCAGTGCTGAAACACATCATAAGGTCGTACCGCTGTCTCAGGAGTTATCGTTCCAGGCTGCAAAAGGTGCGAATTCAGGCTTTCCATGGCTTCTCGCATCGGAATCGTAATCTCGTAGGGCGAATCTGGAACAGAAACTTATGGAAGCACCCTCAATTTTTTGCATTGGAATCGATGAGAAGCAATACTTCCATTCGAAAACCCACCCTCATAATCGACTCCATCTTCATGCGTATCGTAACTGCCTTCGGAATCATCGGAATCATCGTCAGACTCGCTAAATAATGAAACCAATAATAAAAGAATCGATAGATTCAATGTTAGCCTGCTCAGCTGGAAGGGATACGTACCTGCCAGTCTTGTATGGAGAATAGGGCACCTGTGCGTTTGACCTTGGCCACCTGAAAAGGAAGTGAGTTTCAGCAGATCCATCTTCTTGTGTTATTCTGGCACACTAGAAATCACGATAGCTTCAAATTTACCTTCCAAGACTTCGCAGCTCACTTCTCAGTGGAGTAAGTCGATCGGCAGCTTCTTCCTCCTCATCAGGTGTCTCAGCGTTTTCAGATGGTGCCACATATTTACTGATTTTCGGTCGTGGTATTCTAGCCGGAACCGGATCAGGAAGATTCGACGGTGGAGGTGGAATTTCCTGGAAAAAAACTCAGGCTTGTGCTTTAAATGGTGCTGTTCTCAGAAATCATGTCAGTTTTAGTCTGAGAACCTGATTCTTCTCTGTCCAGGCTCTTTCCAAGCTCACAAAACCCAAAAAAGGTTCACAATGACCTAACCTATACGGGTAAAAAGAGTGCTACAGAAATTTTCCAAGTTTAGGTTATGAGACAAGTGCGCTTTTTTCCTCAGGGGTACATTGCTTCCTCAAAGGTATGTCAACCTTCACAATTCGTAGTAGCTGCTCCTTTGTTTGATTTGGTTTAGATTCTTATCGCTGTTGATATTATCACTTTTCTGTGTTTGATCGAAGTGCTTGAAGGAGTGATCCCAAAAAGAGGTGTGACTCTATCTCACCCATAAATCACTGGTTTGAGGGAATTTCCTTGTTCTTTTCGCTCTTATCGTGAATCACTGGTCACGATAAGAGCGAAAAGAACAAGGAAATTGCGTTTGTTCTGGTAAACAGCTTGAAAACCGAAGGACTGCTACGCGTTCAAATTCCCGCCGGACATCTGTCACAAATGCTGGCGGCGGGAACGCTTCCACTTGGTCGGAGTGCCGTCACTAGAAACTCTTTTTGACCTTTTGACTTATTGCATAACATCTCACACTTCTACTGCATCCTATTCTATCGATCGATTTGTCTCTACTCTCCAAAATCGCACGCTTTAACCCGATTCTTTCATGCGTCGCCTGATACGTGGCCGCTTCAGGGCGCACTTCTTTCCATACGCTCCCTTGTCTATGCCCGACCTATTATATTCGACCGTCCATTGATTTATTTTCGACAATTTCTTTCAGAAACTAAATCTTTGTGCGTTAAACTTTGTATGTTGTCTATAGTGATCACAACTGACATATCATGTTGGGAAAGAATGCAAGAGTTTTCCAGAGAAGGATCCCTTTGGAAAAAATTCCATGACAAGGTCGAAGGTCAAAGAAGGAAAAACTACCTAATGGAGAGACAGGTAGACCAAAACCAATTCGTAGTGTAGGAAGCGCTCGGCGATCTAGCGTGCCCCTCCCCGTGGCGCTATCGGCGCGGTCCGCCCATCGACTGGCTAATCACTCACCGCATGAAGCCATTTGGCAGAGAGAGCTTTAGCATTGAAGAGGGCTGCACCGATGAGGGTCACATCAGTAGGAAAACCAACGGGCAAGGAAAGGTTCCCATTTCG